TCCTTGTTTCTTATCTCAATTCTTTCAGGTTAGCCTTAACATGGCAATTAAACTTAGTTTATTTTATGAAACAAGATGGGATCGGGAAGGAGACAACCATAAGAGACTCTTAATCTTGCAGAACAAACTGAGGGTTGCTGGGGGGAGGGGGGTCAGGAAAGGGTGGTGGAGTTATGGACATTGGTGTGGGGGTGTGTGCTGTGGTGAGTGCTGTGAAGTGTATAAACCTGGCGATTCACAGACCTGTACCCTGGGGCTAAAAATACATTTTATGTTTATAAAAAAATTAAAAATTTTTAAAAATAAAAGTAAAAAAATAAAAATGTTAAAAAAAACTTAGTTTATTTTAAAAAGAAATGGTATTATGTCACTGGAATCAAATCTTCCCATTTCACTCAGCAAAAACAAAATCCTAACATTGACTGATGGATGGTACAAGTCACCTGCCCCAGCTCGTCCTGACCCAACTAACTACGATTCACCCTGCTTGCCTGGTCTCACTCAAGTGACCTCTTCCTGGCTCTTCCAACAAGTCAAGTTAGCTCTCATCACAGAGCCTTCCTTCTTGCTATTCCCTCTGCCTGGAACACTCGTCTTTCCAGGCATTCAAGTGGTAATTCTGTCACTTTCTTGAGGTATCTGCTCAAATATTACCTTGATGGGAATACTTCTCAGAATGCATTATCAAGAATTATTTACCCTACTTTCTTGAACACTATCCCATTATCCTGATGGAATTTTCTTTTTCATACTTATCAGTATATGAAATGATTTGCTATATTCTTTTATTATTTGCTTGCTCCAATAAATGTAAGGATTATGAAGGCATGGAGCTTTGTGACAGGTACACTAGCATATTTCCAGCGTCCAGAACAGAGACTAGAAGATAGTAAGTACCCAAACATGATCTGTAGAATGAATGAATAAGTAAATGAAAGCAATTATAAGTAGCTAGAAACTCACCAATTATGCTTAAGTCTTAATTTATAGTGCTATGCTATGGAATAAAGATAGTCTCATTCTAGCTCATTAAAGGTATGAAGAGCCAATGTATGTAAAGGGATTGGCTTAGGTACATTGTCATTTGAGAACTCTGAAGCCCATGCCACCTACCAAAGAGTCTGACCTTAATAAAGGGTTAATGGAGACACTCCGGCTGACTGATCACATATTTCACTAACTGAAAGGCAGCATACACTATTCCTTTTCCAGAATGATATGTAGGCAAATCACAGAAGATGCAGCATAAAGCTATCTCTATCTTTATTATTTCCTCCCTTTGCACTTTAAATCAGAAGAGAGGATGGTGATAAATCCATCACTCAATTCAATGTTTGGCCATTTCTAATACAAGGCTCCAGCCAGAATTCATAGTTACCTCTATTTATTTATTCCTCTGAATACGTAAGTAAAGAAGGAATATAGTAACATCCCTCTAACCTATGGAATCTTCTCTAATCCACAAATATGCTTTAGCTAATTTAAAAACAACCTCTCACCTTAATCGTACTCATGAACTGTACTGTGAAATTCAACACAAACAGTAAATGTGTCTCTCCCAAAAGAAAACTGCGGAAGCAAAAATTAGATGCCTAGACCTTAAATAGAGGTGGGCCATCTATGTATCCTATGTAGGATTAATCTATATAACAATAGTGATGCTTTGCAGTAATGAGGATCTTTATGTACATGAAAAAATATACTAATAACGAGTGGGAGTAACTCAACAATCATTGTCAGTAGAACCTTTACATGCAAGATCAAAGGAATAACAAGAGTGTGGAAGAGTTTAGAGGTGAAAGGCTTAACAGCGTTCACGGTCAACTAGAGCTCAGGAAGCCCAAAACACCTGCTCAGAGTACTTCCTCTGCTGTAGTATTTACCTTGGCGTCCTCCTATGAAGTCCTTATTCTTTTGATACATTTAAACTTACTCAAATAAAAAAAAATGGCATGAAATGTTCTTAAAATTTGTTGCACTCTAACAATTGACTGAACATTTAAGAAGAGATATCTACTTTTCTGATCACTGATAGAAATTTCAGTACATATAAACATATCCTTTTGTAGGTACTAAGCAGAAATCATGGAGGCTAAAATATAGATAAAAATGACAACTATGTAAATGCACACTGAAAGCTTATGTAAATTTATTGTTTTATGGAGAATGTTAATATTTTATAATACTTGATTTCATTTTATTTATTTAGTTACATTATTTTCACCTTTTTAACCTATAAAACCTAGCATATTTCAAGAATTTTATGCTGGAAGGGGTGTTAATGAATAGTTAATTAATACTCCATAGTAAGGAAAATTATAAAATTATTTTAGTGCTAATTAAATATCACACAGAACACTGTAGACATTATTTATAACAGATGAAGACAGGGAAGTATATAATCAAGACTAAAAGACATTTTAACTAAAGCGACTGAAGCAAAAAGTATTCATTTTTTAATTTGGCCCCATAACAAAGGCAAATTGTTATCATACAGAGACATTTTAGAACATTGTTTTTTTTATAACCATCTTAAAATGCTGACATTCTGAGCTAAATTTGATTATCAATTATTATAAAACATATACAGTCCCTGTTGTTTTTGATAGAACTTAGTTGTGCTGGGTTATAGAATTAAGTCACCAATAATCATAAGAAAACTAAATCTAAGTATTGAAATTGATCATCTTTTTTACTCACTCAGGCAATATATTAATTCATGTGTATAAAACTGAAAAAATCTACAAATATTGTAGGTGCTTATTTAATATTATTAAACTAAATTAAGTTCATATCATTTTCTAATTTAAAATTCTGCTTAAAATATTTTTTAAATCACTCAGTTTTAAAACAATTTCTGGATTGAAAAATATCTATGTTGTGTTTTTCGTGAGGTAACTTGGCCAACACTCTCTCCCTCAGAATCTTAACATGACCAACAAAGCCAAACTTCTGACTTAAATGACACACATTTCAATAGAATAGGATTGTACTAGGATATTTATATCTATTTAATTTAAGAAAGTATATTCACACACATCACAAACATCAATAATGAGTGTCTAATATATAGAAAGGTACTATTAACTTCATATTAGACTTGCCTTTTTTCCCATTATTAGGTGGGCTTGGTGTTTCTCCCTCATTGTCTTTTAACATTGAAAACAGACAATAGTGGTTAATAATTAAGGTCACTAACAATCCAAATAAAAACGAAGCACACTACAAAAGATGCAATCACACACTAGGGAAACAAATTCATGCATTAAACATGACATCTCACATTAATGAACACAAGAGTAAAGTATATCCTTCCCATCCTCTGAGAAAAGTAATAAAAACAAAAAATAAAATGAAGAATAGTCATTTTATAGTAAGTCAGAAAGATTATAGTTATGGTTTTATGCTAATTTGACAATCGATGTATTCACTAATGAAGTTAATTTTGAGGATAGGTGACAAACTGCTTCAACAAATAGGCTTTATCTTAAGGAAGTGAAAAATAAATAAAAGTATTAACTACCACTGAAGCCCCCAAACTTATAATTTCCTAAAAAATGACTTTCCTCTGGAAGCCAATTCATGAACAGTGTGAAAGCATTTCACCGCTCATATGGACTAAAATGAGAAATATAGGAATGGGCAAATAGGAAGACATTAATTGCACAGCTAAATTAAAATTAAATTCATTTTTTATGCTATTCTCTAAATATGTGATTCCTATAGCATTGCAGGAAAATGGAAGATTCATGACATTCTAGTAGTTAGAATACTAGATATTCAGAACAGAGATAGTTACACATTTCTAGAAATGTGCAGCTAAACTTGCCTTTATTTTCAAGGTCAGACACATTCTGATGATTATTCTTATCTTTATGATATTAAAAATAGTTACTGATAATCAGCAACTGCAACTTAAGAGGTCTTGCGTCTTATACTGTAAATACTGAGACAATGCATCCAGGAAAATATATGCACAATATCCATAAGGACATTGCTTCACACAGTGGAAAAGGAGAGAACGTAAGGCACATGAAGTACACTCTACTGTTCATGAAAGAAAAGTGATGATTTAAACATGATAAAATTAGGACCACAGTCATTCTTCATTGTTCAGTCTTGTTCAGTCTTCACTGTTAAATCTTTTTAAACTGACATCTTAGAAAAGACTAGGATTCAATTCTGTGTTTCAAATAAAAAGAGTGAAAATCTGATAAAAGAATTTAATAAAATAAAAAATTTGATAAAAGAAGTGTATTAATACATTTACTGATTATGTAATATTTGAAGTTTTAAAATCCTTTCAGGAACATGCTGACAAAGAAAGTGGCAAAAATTATGACATGTAAATAAAATAAGGACTTAAAAAAAAACCCACCAGAATGGAGACCCTCCCCTCAGAAGATGGAATGTTTAGTAAGAAATTATGATTGTCAATAAATATTAGAACACTATTGAGCTGGGATGAAGAACAGGAATATATGGTTAATTGTTCTTATTTTAGGAAAAGAATTTATGAAGAAAATTGTGATAGTCTCTAAAAGTTTTAATAGAATTTATATTCTACTCTACTTTACTTGTAATTTACCTCTACAAAACCAAATTCTTTAGAGAAGAAGCTAGGACTGCAATGTATTACTCAGTGTAACCCAGAGTAGGAACTCAGTTTTTAATAAATAAATGAATTGAATACAGAGTTAGGGTAAAGGATAGGCATGAATTTGATCAGAGGCATTGTCTATAATTTTAGTTTGATTTAAATACTAAAAAACATGTTCAGAAGGAGAAATTAAACATTCTGGTAAGTTATCTCGATTAGATAGCTTATGTAATATTTCTCCATTAATAAAATTAGGCAATGTATTTAAAAGTCAGTACTGAAAAACAAAACGTTCTTTATTGTGCATTTATAAATTTGGAGCCCAACATCTTATATGAAATGGAAAAGTCATACTTCTAAAAAATTCAGTTATTTATTTTAGACAAACAGTCTGACAGACCTGCCTTGACCTCTTCACCCTGCTTTTCTCCCCACTGCTCCTCCACATGCCCAGTCTCTTCATTAACTTCCGTATTTGCACAAGTGAAGAAAAAAATAAGACCAGATATGTATATTTGTTACTCTTGGTGACCAAAAATTTCAAACTATTCATGATACAATGAGTGATTATAGGGAGACTAAAAGATTATTTTTAATGAATTTCTGACAAGTTATGGAAGCAAATAAATAGTCTATAAATAAGTTATCATACTATCTTCTTTTATGATGGCTCTGATTTGTAAAAGAGAAATTATAGCCTCTAAAATATTTACGGTATGTGATAACTGTGTAAAGTAGGCAAAATACTTTGTCTATAAGCTTGATACATTCTTAGAAAAATAACATTACATATCTTTTCTTCTACAGAACCAAAAAAAAAATTATAAACTCTCTTTTATTTTCACAAAATGCCAGTACATCAAAGTTAAGAGAAAATTTTAAAAAATATTAATGCTTTAACTGTTGTTTAGTACATTGTACTCTTCTTATATTGTTCTTATTTTTTCTGGTTCTCAAAGAGACGATAACCAATACTGTACCATCATGAAAACCAACATAGCCAAGGTTTTAAGTTCACTTAATTAACAGACTAAAATATAACCAAAATCAAAAGGAATTAAAGTAGGAATTGTTCATTTTTTAGCTCTTGGACAGGATGAGAAAAATAATCACGTCATTACTTTGATTTTGAAATAATGCCATTAAATTACAAGTTCTGACAACTTTTCAAGAGATAATCCAAATAAAATTTGATGTAGACCAACTGACAGCCTATTTTGGATTACACATCTTTAACTTCAGCTGGAATTCGAAAACTTCTAAAAGAGGTATTTTTGCCCCCAATTAAAGCAAAGAAAATTACACAATTATGTATCTGCTAAAGTCTTCATATCAACATTCACAAAAACACTGCTGAAATCATTCATACGTTCAAGCAAAACAAAACAAACAAAAAATCCTTTTATCTCATACTGGAAATGATAAGGGCGGTTTTAGCTCTCCTTCCTTTTACTTATAAAAAAAAGTCACAGTGAAAGGGGACATTAAAAGAAAACTTTTTAAAAAATAGATTCTATAGGGCATATAGAATGTTAATTGACAAGCCCATTAAAAAATTCCTCAACCCCGACTTTCAGCTTTAGCTCTATGCTGACTTTCCAGTAGGTTTATTATTACAAAGAACAGAACTCACATCTCAACAAACTATTGTTATAAAAGATATTAAAACTGAATTTTTAAAAAATTGTGACATAAACTATTTCTGACATCACATGCCAACAAATGAAGTCAAAACTCTTTAAAGGTCTTTTAAAGTCTTTAAAAGTCCTGGGGAGACAAAAAACATTTCATACACATCACACAACTTTCTTTCAGTAAAGTACTTTTAAAATTATGTAACCCATTCTAATGCAAATAATTAAGAACTACAGAAATGCTGCTGTAATCTTGCCAGACAGCATAAGAAACCATTAGTCATAATAGCACAGAGTTGTTTAAAATCATGGTACATATTATAGAGAAAACCTCAATACTGAAGTCCATAAATCATTCAGTAACTAACAAGAACACAGCTATTCCAAGTTATATAAGGCAATAAAATATACTGCCCAAATGCGGTGCACTTAAAATTTTGTTACAAATAGCTTATAGAAATTTTAATAGAAAACACAATTTAATATAAACATCTATAGAATGACGAGATTCTTGTAGGGATACATTGTATACTATTTGAAGTAGCTTTTCAGTTTTTAAACAACGTTTCATGCATTCATTCAACAAACATTTATTGAGGGCCTGTAATGGGCCAGGCAATATTCTATGTGCTGGAAATTCATAAATAAATAAAACAGTTAACAATTCTTTAAACTTACTAGGTTAATTTTAGAAATTCTTTCATTGGCAGAGGAATTTTTATTATTTAGTAAATGTATGACACTCCACATATCATGATTCAATATTTTCTCTTGAGTCATAACGTAGTGTTGATAGTAAAACTGTACATGTTTAACTTTGGTATACTGTAAGCGGTCTTGGTACAACATGAAAAGTGATGCAGGAAATACAAACCACAATCACTATCTAATTCAACAACTTTCTTTTCTAGAAAGTCAAATTTAATGACTGAGAGATCATCATAAATACGAAATGAAATATATGAGGATAAGTATCACTAGACTGGGTGTACATCTTTGGTGATATAAACACAGACTGCAATTGATGTCTTTGGTTAAAGTCTTGCACAACATACAGAATTCTGCTTGAAAGGCATATTAAAATTTTTAAAAACCAGAATATTCTATCTTGGCATTTAAAGGAAGTTTCACTCTGCATTCTTAAGGGAACGAATCAAAAGAAATTTAACTCCTTGGTGTAATTTCTAAGTAAAACCAAAGTTGAATACTTCACCAAAAATGATAAAAGAAAATCATTTTACTCTCCATAAAAGTCTATACCATGGAGGGACATCAATTGCAGTTGGGTTTATTTTTGCTTGCATAGCCCCCCAAAAAGGCTGTCAGCACAAAACAAACCCTCCTTTATGTACAGACCTTCATAAGGTTCTATCTCCTTGACTCCATTGTCTAGGAAAAACAAAATAAAAACAAAACAAAAAAGGGAACCAAAGCACAGGGGTTAAAAACAACAGAAATTTCCAAAGGCATAAAATGTATGTATCATCTATTAAAGAAAAGTTAAATGGTGATTTAAGTATATATATATAAATATATATGTATTTGTTTTTTGGCAAAGCACATCCAGTTACTAAATAAAGGGACGATTTAAAAAAATGAGGTTAAAAATTATTATAATCTATCATCCATGCTTTTAGAGGCCCTTTATCTAAGGATTTATAGATGTTTGGGGAGTATGCTCATCTGTGTATAAAAAAATAGTGCTTCTTATGCAAAAATTTGAAAGTATTAAAAATATCAGTACAACATGCATCTTTCTTTGTATATTCATGATTACCTTTTCTCTGGTACTCCAGTTTTGAGAAGGATCACCATTGTTGTGCATCAGCTAACCAGTCCTTTGCAGTGTGTGAAAATTGATTTGGCTAGTTACTAATAAACTTTATGTAACTATCAACAATTACATACACTTAGTTGTAGCAAAGAAATAGCATCCCACTGCTTATCTAAGAGCATTAAGTTTACTTTTAAAAATGCATTTATTCAAATTTTGAAAATGTGCAAAAGCAATAACGGGAGGTCATTTCCCCCCAAATATTACAAATTTTAACTGCAAAATATATAATAATTATCAATATATTTATAACTATAACTACTAGCAAATGCGGCTAAGGCGTTCAATTAACAAAAGAAGAACACTAACACAGAAGTAGTAAAAAAAATATCTTGATTCACCTTAGCTTCCGTGTGTATTTCCTACATGACATAATTAGAAATAAAACTTACTTCTCTCCAATGTTCCCTTTGGCGGAAGTTGTGGAAGTTGTCGGCCCCTTCGTCCTGCCACTGGAGTACTTGACGGGCTGGTTTGGACAGACCCAGTACGAGGATGAGACCTACAAGATACACCATTGATGCTCATTTTCAGTAGGATGAATGAAGTCATTTGAATACATTTGGTTCATATGATAGTGTGCAAGTGCAATTTTAAAAGAGGTGTAGCTGCTGATTAAAAGGTTAGGAAAGTAGGACAAAATATGGATATTTGAATGATTGTCGAAAGATGTTTCTACTTTTGTGTCATATGCATACACACACACAGATACATGCACACAAAATCCTACAGTAACGTCCATGGAATTGTTCATGTAAATTAGTATTCTATCCATATGAAAGCAACAGGAGAGCTCTGCAGCTCAAAAAATGAGAGGTAATGTTTTACATTTCTTTCTACCAGATTTCAAATTCTCAACACTAACCTCCCTCCCTTTATGCAAGATTTTTACTCAGGCTTATATTAGATATCCCTTTATTAGAAAATATCTCATGATACTATAACTAAAACCCTGAACAATTCAGAATTCAACTAAAGATACTGGTTAATACGTGATCTTAGTATTGATAGAAAGAAACAAAAAGCTAGTTTTAGTTATTGTCATTACGATGATTATTCCAAAATTGATGTCTAATGGACACAAACAATTTCTCATTCTGTAGGAGAAGAACATGAGAGTTATGAGGTGCATTATGGGGGGATTTACCCAGGACTCCTGATCAATGAGAAATCACACAACAAATGCGGTCAGGACAGTTAAAAACAAATTACAATGGTAGCCACACACTATTATATCCGCTGAATATAAATAGTGTGCTTACACTGAAAAGGTTAGTATTGATCGTTACTAGTGATCAGCCAAGGATGATAGAAGAGACCATTTAGCTGCTGGGAAAATAAATAGGTGTGCTGGTGGGGCAAAGGGGAAGTTAGTCTGATTGATTTATCTTTCACCTCGATAAGGCAGGTGAAGGAGGGGCAGATCTTCCAGTCATTAATGAAGGCATCGACCTCATGAGGTTTGTGTCAGGACGCTCAGTGGATCGGGAGCGGGTGGTGGTCCGCTCTAGGAGAGGCCGTTGTTCTGTTGATCTGGATCTGTGATATGGCTGTCTATCTGCTGCTTCACAATCCCTGAAACGTTAGTCAGAAAGCAGCTCAGTTGATCTTTAGTGCCCTTCTCCTGTTTGGTTAGGATGCATCAAATCGATTTTGAAAAAGGTCATTGTTTAAAATCATCGAATTTGTAAAAACATATTCTGAGCGGGTCTCACTATACTTCGTCAGCATTTCTAAGGAAACCACAATCTGCTTTTGGTAGCAATTCCCAACGAAGAGAATAGGAGTTGCTCAGTTATTGTCAGTGACAAACGAAACTGCCGGCTTTCCAGAATGAACTCCCTACGTGGAACCGGTGACGTATGTGGAGTAGTCTATTTCGAGGAATGCAATGGCTTTTCCTAATGTTCCCAAAAGAGTGAAGGAAACCCTATAAGCATTAATTCTAAAGACCCAAAGGCAGATCGGGTGTTTCTCATTCTATACGCCATAAAAAGGCCTTTTGCATGAACATGGTATATTGATGCACCCAAACATTCCAACAAAAGAATCAAAACGTTGTAAGAAAACACTGCAACCTTGCAGGCTGTAGCCATATTTCAACACACCGTCCACAAGAACAAGCACAGACAACCGGTTAATCAGTCAATCTCTGCCACCCATCTCAAGGCACTTTAGCAATGCCAACAGATATCGTTCAGCAAAGTATTACTAGATTGAAATAGTAATGCTTCTGAAACAATGTGATCTTGACCACAAATAAGACCAATATCAAAACCTAATCCTTGTTGAAAGACATATACTTAAATTTAGGGAACCCATCATTATTGACTTTTGTATCCCTAGACCCTAGCATGCTTTGAACACCTAACATGTGATTGGTAAATGTTTTCTAACACCAGCCCCACTACCTGTGAGACAACCCTAAGAACACTCATTTGGCTCGAGAACTCTAAGGTTAACACTTAGGCCATATTATACTTCAGATTAAACTGTGACCACCCATCTAGTTTTAACCACAGTAATGGAAATGCTTATATATTATGGACTGTAAAAACAAACATTAGTCTCTCCCAAGACTAATGTAAACAACTTTCATTTTACCTACAAATTCTCCGAATCTTATTTTTGATAATGAAAAATGTGGGCAATTAAATAAGAAAAGAAAGGGCACAATTTCCCACATGTAACAAATTATATAGCATATAATTTTAGATCAGCAGGCATGAGATTAGATGACTTTAGGAGGTGAATGCTGGGTTTATTCTATAATATATCTTGTGATTCTCTTACATTTTAAATTCACAAGATAATACATAAATCAAACCATTTTTAAAAAATATTTTAAAATGCATGTGCCATCATATGATTCATTTCCTAAGATAAATTTAGTATTTTTAATTTTTTTTATTGTGTTATGTTAGTCACCATACAGTACATCATTAGTGTTTGATGTATTGTTCCATGATTCATTGTTTGCATATAACAGCCAGTGTTCCATGCAATCTCTGTTTTTATGTAAGTATATCCAGGATATCTCAAAAAAAGCTGATGTATACAAAGTGTAAATACATACACAATATTCAATTACTTTCAAAGAGAGATCTAAAAAAGGAAACCTGATGGTATAAATATTCATAATTCTATTTTTTTGTTTCTGAAAAACTATTTGAGAGAGAACACTTTTCTTTAGAAATAAATATGCTAAATAGTTTTTTAAATGTTTTTGGTGTACATATCTTTGTATAGTTTCATCACAGTCTATAAGCAGAAGCAAAGGAACATATATATATCTTAGATTCCTTAAAACCTATTTTTTGGAAAAAACCAATCTTTACCTTATTTTCAGATTTCCTATTATCTTAAGTTAATAATAAACTTTTCTTACTATATGACATGTACTGACAAAATTTTGTGGAATGTCTATGACTATCCCAGCAGAAAATCAGGCTAATCTTTCCTGTATTTATGCAAAATTTGATATCTTCTGATTCCATCAAGCAATTTTCCAAGTGAAAACTAAGATAATAGGATATACACTTTTACTTCTTTGACACTATATTTTAATAATTGAAATACATGATTGTGACTGAAATCCAGAGAATTATTTCAAATTTGTTGCTATGTCCTTAAAAGGATACTGTCACTTATAAAGCCAACAGTCACACTTTAGGAAATATCCTTAGAAAAATTTCTCTTTGGTGGAAAAGTTGTTTGAAGACTATGTCAATGTTTTAAATTTTGCTTATATTTCTTCTCTCCATTTTCATAAGTAATATGAATTATATGATTTCCATAGTGTGAAAGGAAAACTGGTTAATAAGTGAAACACAGACACACACAAAAACCCACAGTAAAAGGTAGCAATTTCCTAAAATGTCTACCATAGTTAAGGGGAATGAAAAGCTACCATATTTTAAACTTAGATCACACAACAGAAGAACAACACAGGCTCCCGGTCCCACAATTGGATAAGGATAAGCCTTACTATGGAAGAACCAAGACAATTACTGAGAAAATTGAAAGCAACAATGCCTAGGTCTTACCTATAATACCCAGTCTCAATGCAGGTTCTTTAAGGGAATGAGATATAAAACCTGACAATGTCTACCTAAATTCTTAGTGAATTTTAGTTTTCGGAGAAGAACTTAAAAATATTTAATTTTGAATGGTAGCCACTAAGATATAGGAACTATGCATTTACAAGGCACAAATATTTTAATACCTAACTTGGGGTCTATATTTCACTGTAAGTAGCTTTCTCTGTAACTGCATTTAATTTACTTGATTTTACTTTATGCATTTTAAAACATTCTTCTAAAAAGGATGGCCGTAAGTTTTACAAGATTGCCAAAGGGCAAGGCCTATAAAAAAGGTTAGGAACCGTCCACCTACAAAATTAAATCTTTCTTAGTAGGTGAATAATCTTGCTGTCTTTTAAAAAAAAGTGATATAAAAATAAAATTTAAAAAAAAATTAAAGAACCAAAAAAAAAAGTGATATAATATCTAGTGATTTACTGTCTTTCGTAGTTCGATTTTTAATAGTTTATATTTTGTAATGTGTGTACAATAGTTCAGATTTTTGCATGTATCATTTACCTGGATAAATACTGACCACTGCTCTGTACTATTTAGGGGCTCCTATTCCAAGGTTTGCAGAGGATCCTGCTTAATAGCCCGTCCACAAACAGAGATAATTCATCCTGACTGATAACACTGTAACAAGGACCAGGATTGTAACAACTCAGCTTTATAAGCCAATAATAGCACAAGCAGAATTTGAGCTAAGGATTCCTAAGGGAAAAATAATTTTATAATCATCTAGTGAAGCCGTCCATTTGAGTCATTTTCCCCTTCACTATAGTTGCTCTTGCAAAAGATTTTTTTAAGTTTCTAAGCATCTGGCACAGCTCTCTACTTATTTCACCACCTTTGCTATTTACTTTTTCTATTCTCACTTACAGCACAAGGTAGAGATGTAACGGAACAGGGAAGAACAGGGCACAGGGCCTTCTCTTCTATAACCACTTACATTAGACCATCGCAATGATTCAACTTCATAACAACAAAAGCTCAATGTAGAGCATCTCTGTATCTCTGTAGGTATGATAAAAGAACACTAGGAAAACTCAAAAAAAAAAAAAAAGAAAAGAAAAGAAAAGGAAAGAAAAGGAAAAAACAACCACCAGCACAATGCAAAATTTCAAAGTACTATGTAGATATCAGTGAAAGTTCTCCTAGAATGTGACTCAGAACTTACAGTCTGTGATTAATTAGGCTCATTTCATATTTAGATTGTAAAGATGCCATAAGTAAATATAATAGGTTTTCTTAAAAAAATGAAGCTATTTCAGAATTATTTTTTTCCTTTTAATAAAGAAATTATTTCTCTAATGCTGAAATCTTAAATTAAAAAATTTTTTTTCAATGTATCTCTGAAGGACAACAAGTACCTCTCTGGTTTGGAGCAAGAAATATCTTCCTTGTGTCCATACTGTATAATACAGAAAGCTAATTACCAGCAGAAGCAGTATGCTTTTGGTAAAATATATGGAATGTCTAGAGATTTTCTGAGAATTAACTGCATAACTGAAGAAATACATACAGGATAATATTTTAAAATTAGATATTTTAGAGCAACTAATAAAATGTAGATACATATTTATATAATATAACAAATAATTTAAATTGCATGACTCAACTCTATAATTTTCATGTTCACCATAAATTGTATTGCACAATTTAATTTTTTAAAAACTCTAGTTTATCCAAATAAATAAATACTGTGTATAAATAAGAACATTTTTATTATTTTGGTGGAAAATAGATTAATTTGTCCTTAGGCCTGAGAGTATCTCTTTACAGAACATTTCTCCTCATTTAAATGTAAATTCTGTATGTTAGTTAAAAGTAGTGAGTTTATTCAAAAATAATAGCAGTGTCTAGTGTCAGCCACATTAACAATCTAAGATGTGAAAACAGCAGTAATACATATAGTGAGGTGAGAAAGCAAGACACTTCTAAAGTAGGAATATTATTATTACCCATAAGCCTATCTTATCACCAAAAAGAGATGTAAACTGTTCTCATTTCTAGAGAAGCATTTTCTTAGAAATAGTCATTACAGGAGATAGCAAGAAGAAAATTTACTATCTCAATTTCCTGAAGAAAATTAGGGACAAATGCAATACTGAAAAATAAAGTATATTGTATTATTAAATATGCACACATAAAAACATAAAAGATGTAAATGTCTAGAGGATATTTTGAGTATTCTATTAAATATTTATAATATTCCTTATTATTTTTTATTTCAAAAAATAACAGAAAACCACAAATAAGTAGGATTATTTACTCAGCAGCAATTAACATGCAGCAAATTAATATATCTTCAAAATATATTTTTTTTAAAATCCAGAGATAATTATCATTTATAAACCATAAAATTCTTACTTTAATAAATAGAGCATTTTCATTCTCAGTGAATGTTGAAGTTTAATAACATTTGTCAACTGTAAGAAATTAATGTTGTTCCACCAAGGTATGGGACCCCTATGCTTTCCCTTCCTGGGT